GCTTGTGACCAAAGTCAAAAATAACAAAAAAAGTTTCTTTCAACATGTAAAAAACAAGAATAAAGTGAAGGAAATGATTGGTCCATTAGTGGGGGAAAGTGGCAAGAAGGTGACAAGCAACAGGGAGAAAGCAGAACTATTTAAGTCGTTTTTTGCATCTGTCTTTACACAAAGGGAAAAAACAGACCAACCTATCAAAAATAATGCCATAAAAAACTAATAGAAACACAAGTTAAAATAGGCAAGAAAATGGTAAGTGAGCACCTGGCCAGCCTAGACGAGTTCAAATCAGGACCAGATGGATCACACCCCAAGGTTCTCAAGGAACTGGCAGATGTGATCTCAGAACCACTGAACTATATTTTTCAAAGATCCTGGAGCACTGGGGAACTACCAGAGGACTGGAAAAGAGCTGATGTAGTTCCCATCTTCAAAAAAAAGGAAAAAATGGATCCAGGAAATTACAGACCTATCAGCCTGACCTCAATACCTGGGAAGATTCTGGAAAAGATAATCAAACAACAAATCAACAAACACCTAGAGGCAAACAAAGTCATTACTAAAAGCCAACATGGTTTTGTCAAAAACAGATCATGCCAGACAAATACCTTGACCAAGTGACAAAATTAGTGGATCAGAGGAATGCTGTGGATATAATTTACTTGGATTTCAGTAAGGCGTTTGATAAAGTAGATCACAACCTACTACTTGATAAGATAGAAAAATGGATGGATTCATAGCTGGCTGACCAGCCGTACTCAGCGTGTGGTCCTCAATAGAACCGCATCTACATAGAGGGAAGTGTGTAGTGGGGTGCCCCAGGGCTCTGTTTTGGGCCCAGTGCTCTTCAACATCTTCATCAACGATTTGGATGAGGGGATAGATGGGGAACTCATCGCATTTGCAGACGATACCAAGCTGGCAAGAATAGCCAACATTCCAGAAGACAGGCTTAAGATACAGGAGGATCTGGACAGACTTGAACACTGGGCACTATCTAACAAAATGAAATTCAGTGGTAAAAAATGTAAGGTTCTACATTTGGGCAAGAAAAAACAAATGTACAGGTATAGTATAGGGGGTACCTTGCTCAAAAGTAGTAACTGTGAGAGGGATCTTGAAGTCCTAGTGGACAATCACTTAAATATGACCCAGCAGTGTGCTGCAGCTGCCAAAAAAGCCAACACTGTACTAGGCTGCATTAACAGAAGTATAGAATCAAGATTACGTGAAGTATTAATACCAATTTACAATGCCTTAGTAAGGCCACACTTGGAATACTGCATCCAGTTTTGGTCACCACAATGTAAAAAAGATGTTGAGACTCTAGAAAGTACAGAGAAGAACAACAAAGATGATTAGGGGACTGGAGGCTAAAACATATAAGGAACGGTTGGTGGAATTGAGTATGTCTAGTTTAATGAAGAGAAGGACGAGGGGGGACATGATAGCAGTGTTCCAATATCTCCCTCAAAGAAGAGGGAGTCAAGCTATTCTCCAAAGCGCCTGAAGGCAGGACAAGAAGCAACGGATGGAAACTAATCAAGGAGAGAAGCAACCTAGAACTACGGAGAAACTTCCTGAGTTAGAACAGTTAACCAGTGGAATAACCTGCCTCCAGAAGTGGTGAATGCTCCAACACTGGAAGTTTTTAAGAAGAGACTGGACAGCCATTTGTCCGAAATGGTAAAGGATTTCCTGCCTGAGCAGGGGATTGGACTAGATGACCTCCAAGGACCCTTCCAACTTTATTATTATTATTATTATGGATCATCACACAGTCAGCCAGATGTTCAGACTGGATTTGGCATTTTGTCTACCTATCGAGTCCTTACCCAGGACCTGGGATAGGCAGATGTGGATGTTTGATGGTATTACAGATATCGTCGCAGGATGGAAGCAGTTCCTAGTAAGGCTGCCTTTTGCAATTGACTAACAGCGAATTTGTCAATGCCAATGGTGTTCAAGTGGTGCTCCAGTTGTTTTGGGATTGCACCCAAGGAGCCTATACTATTGGTACTACCCTTGCTTGCTTTTGCCACAGTCTTTCTATTTCTATTTGTAGGTCTTTGTATTTTGTTATCTTCTCCAGTTCTTTCTCTTCTATTCTGCTGTCTCCAGGCACTGCCACGTCCACTATCCAGACTTTTTTGTCTTTCTTATCGACAATTGTTAAGTCTGGGGTGTTATGTTGCAGGTGCTTGTCTGTTTGAATTCTGAAGTCCCAGAGCAGTTTAATTTTATCATTTTCTATGACTTTCTCTATTTTATGATCCCACCAGTTTTTGCTTACAGGCAAATGATATTTTTTGCAGATCTTCCAATGCACCATTGTTGCTACTTTGTCATGCCGCTGCTTGTAATCAGTCTGTGAAATCTTCTTGCAACAGCTTACCAAGTGGTCCACTGTTTCTTCAGCTTCTTTGCATAGGCGGCACTTACTGTCTGTTGCTGTCTTCTCAATTTTGACTTTGTATGCATTTGTCCTTAAGGCTTGGTCTTGTGCAGCCAGAATTAGTCCCTCGGTCTCTTTCTTCAATTTTCCTGCTCTTAGCCATTGCTAGGTCTTGTTATTATCTGCTTTCCCAGCTATTTTTTTCATGTATTGGCCATGTAGTGCTTTGTCTTCCCATGCCTCTATTCTGTTCTTCATTTGGTCTTTCTTGTAGGCCAGTTTGGTCTCTCCAGTAGTTAGTAAGCCTTCCTGATATACTAATTTCAGTGCATCTTCATCATTGTTCTTCAGATATTCTTCCAAAGCCAGTTTTTCTTCTTCAACCATCTGATGTACTTGTAGCATTCCACGCCCACCTATTTGCCTTGGTAGATAAAGTCTGTCAATGTCACTGCGTGGATGAAGGACATGATTCATTGTCATTATTTTTCTGGTCTTCCTATCCATTGCTTTTAGTTCTGCTTGAGTTCAGTCCACTATTCCAGCTATGTACCTAATGACTGGAATTGCCCAGGTGTTGATTGCCTTTATGGTATTTCCTCCATTGAGTTTGGACTTTAAGATCTTCTTCACTCTCTTGATGTATTCAACTCTAATCTTTTTCTTGACTTCAGTGTGTTTGATGTTGTCAGCTTGAAGGATACCCAAGTATTTGTAGTAATCTTCCTCATCCAGGCTCTTAATGTTATTTTCGTGGGATATCTTGATTCCTTCATTTTTCATTACTTTTTCTTGTTTGATAGTAAGTGTGGCACATTTGTCCAAGCCAAACTCCATAACAATATCTTGGCTATATATACGGACAGTGTTGAGCAGTGATTCTATTTCAGATGATGTTTTTCCATATAGCTTCAGATCATCCATGTAAAGGAGGTGGGATAGTCTGGCAGATGTTTTTGATGTTTGATAGCCATGTCCTGAGTTATTCAGTATTGTTGACAGAGGAAACAGTGCAATTACAAATAGTAATGGTGATAATGAATCTCCTTGAAATATTCCTCTCTTGATATTAACCTCTCCCAGTCTCTCACCATTGATCTGCAACTGTGTCTTCCATTGTGCCATCGATCTTTGCACAAATTTTCTGATGTTTCTACTGACTCCTGTTATTTCTAGCACTTTATTATCCAATCATGTGGCAGAGAGTCAAATGCCTTTTTGTAGTCAATCCATGCCACATTCAGGTTGGTCTTCCTTCTCTTGCAGTTTTCCAAGATCATTTTGTCTATTAGGAGTTGATCTTTTGTTCCTCTGCTATTGGGGCGGTTTCCTTTCTGCTCAGGTGGAAAGAGATTGTTTTCAACTAGATGCTGTTGCACTGCATCAGCTACTACACCAGTTAGTAATTTGAAAGTTGTTGGTAAGCAGGTAATTGGCCTGTAGTTACCTGGTGTTGCCCCTTTTGCTGGATTTTTCATTATTAGGTAGGTTTTCCCAGTTGTTAGCCACTTTTCAATTTCTCCTCCTTGTAGTATATTGTTGAACTGTTTGGCAATGAGTGGGTGTATAACAGTTAGATGTTTCAACCAAAACCCATGCAGTTCATCTTCACCTGGTGCTGACCAATTTTTTATTTTCCTTGCTCTTTTTTTCTACCATTTTTGTTATTACTAGTTCTTTCATTTCAACTTCTGTTTTATTTGCATCCACCTCTTTTAACCAAGCCGCATCCTTGTTGTATTTCTTTGGGTTATCCCATATCTGCTTCCAGAACTGCACTGTTTCTTCCTTGTCAGGTACTGACTGATTCTTGCAGTTTCTCCATTGATGGATTGGTAGAAACATTTCTGATTGGATTGAAATTGGAGGTTCTGCCTATAGTTTGCAATTCGAGCTTCATATCTACTGATTTTCCTGGCTATAGCTGTTATTTGTTGCTTTATTATTTCCAGTGCTTCCTTGATCTTCCTTGTTTCTAAGTGGTATTTCTTGATTAGGTATTCTTTGGTCTTCTTGTTCTTCAGCTTCTTTTCTTTCATCTGTTCTAGCTTGCTTGCATGTGATCTTAACTTGCTGATCTTATTTTCTAGTCTAACCTTCCATTTTTTGTGGTGCACTGTTTGTTTGTTTTTCTTCTTTGTTGATTTTGCATCCCAGGTATTCAGTTATAACTGCAGCTGTGCTGTACATTAGTTGGTTTGTTTCTTGCAGTGAATTGGTGCTTATATTTGATATTGCAGTATTTGCATTTTTTAATGCTTGTGCTAGCTGTTTCTTTGGAACAAGCTTCAATGCAGGCAGCCTTATTCTGTTGTTTGCTGAGTAAGACTGCATTATTATTATTATTATTATTATTATTATTATTATTATACATTTATTTATGTCATTATTGTTTGAATTTCCCACTTTCATTTGGATACACAAATTGTTTCTCTTCATATTTTATGCCTGTAAGAATATGGGCAGCACACTGTAGCCAGAAACAATAAGCAAATTTAGTGAAATATACCAACTAATTTATCCAGAATCAGATGGGTCATAATTCTTGAAAACAGAAGTTTTAGCTTATTGCCATATTTCTCAAGGCTTTTGTTTTCTTTTACAGATAGATGAAGAGAGAGAATTGGCTATAACTATACTACAGAAATTAATACGAGGCAGAGCTATCCAAAACATGGTAAGTTTTGTTTTGTGGCATCCATTAACTTGATGACAGATTCTGTCAATATTTGCATCTGTCTCCCAACTGTTTATATTAAATGATTTCAACAAGAAAAAAATTCACATCCATATGAATCATGTCCTTCCAATTGTTTTGAAGGCATTATAAACTATAATAGGGTGTTTAGGTCAACTAAGATATCTCATGGAACTATATCTTATATATCCTCTATCCTCCGACAACCTAACAAGAACTGTGTAAGAACATTATTCAAGCCAGTACAAATGTATTGCAACCAGCCAGAATCCCAGAAAAAGGGAAATGATCACCTGTACATCTTCCAACAAAATGAATACCCATATAACTTTATCAAAAAGTGCCTAACCACTCAAACCCTACAGCCCAACCAAACTAGCTATGAAAAAAATAACACTACCATATATCCAAAACACCTCAGAAACAACCAATAGACTTACAACCACTTGGCATTACCATAGCACACAAAGCAATTAAAGCTCTCCAAAATATCTTAAGTAAACCAAATGGCCCAGTAGCCCAATAAGAAAAAAACAAGTCCTCTACAACATACAGTGTAAGACAGGGGTGTCAAACTGCCGGCCCGCGGGTCGGTTTCATGATACCGGAGCCATGCCCACCCCATTGACGGCAATGGCGAAAAAGCTCCGATACGTCACATGACGTCACAAGTTTGACATGCCTGGTGTAAGAGGTGACGGTGACTATAACAACCACTGACACAATGAAACTGTTTAACCTCACAACACATGAACAGATTGAACTATAATTTCAACTGGGAAACTGGACATCCTATACCAAACTAAATCCAAAAGAAATGCCTAAAAACTTGACATTCAGGCAAATCAGGTATCAATAAACACATAGAGATAAACCACATTTATATACCATTCAAAAGAGACAATAAAAAAGCTAAGAAGGAAACAAAAAAACCAGAACACATCCTCTCCAGCAACCAACATCCAGATAAGCAAGGATGAGCACTAGACAAACAATCAAGCAGAAAACCCTACTCAGGAATTATCAGAGAGAAAACCACACTCCTACAAATACTGGCAGGCAAGCTACTGTACGTAAGCAGGCAACAAACCCACACTCTCTAGCACTGATAAAGTTACCTAGTTGTATAATAAAATATCTGCAAGCAAACAACTAAGCTCAAAGAATACCAAGGATTCCTTATTCAACCCTGAGCTACTTATGTTCCCTTCTATTGCAGCCATATTTTATACCACAGGTGTCGAACTCGCCTCATGACTTTTTTTGCATTGCCAGAGTTGGGGTGGGCGCGGCCTCCTTATGATGTAACTGGCCCATGGGCCGGCAGTTTGACATCCCAGTTTTATACTATTCAAATTCTAAATTGAGTCCAAACTTACAAAACTACAGAGGTAAATAATGATTTAACATTGTTAGTCTGTTTTAATTCCTTTTTCTTTTGTATTCCAAACTCTGTAGTAGCTTAAGGAGCAAAGAAGCAGGTCTAAATGTTTTTTTAGTTCAGTTACCATGACAAATCTTAGTTATTCTGCAATAATTTTAGATTTTCATTTCTGATCATGGTTTATTGGCCAATAATATGCTCTGATTTATCCACAATAAACTTGGATAGATGTTGAAGGAAATAAAATAGTTTTGGAGGCAAAAACAAAGATATAAAAGCAACAACTGAATACTATGTTTATTAGAAGAAAAAGCAATGTAATCAAATAGGTAATGAGAAAGCCAGTATAATTGAATTGGAGCTCTCTGGTAAGGTTATACCTAGGACAAGAAGAAGGTGAAAAAATGGAAATATGGTACAACCATATAAAGCTACACTGAATGAAGAATTAATTCAAAAAATTAAGAAGTTTGTCAAGGAATGGTCAATTAACAAGAGCTTCTTTGATTAAATAGGAAATTCAAGGAAGGAGTAAGTGTACGTTCAACCTGATATAAAGAAAACATGATTTAAAAGAATAGAACCCTGAGGCACTTCACAAAATGGGCATTTCCATCACATGCAGGACAGTCTGCAAGCCATAGGAGCATATAATTTAAGATGTGCTAAAGCCATTTCAGAAGGCAGAAGACTTCAGGTCCATTCATAATCTCCCAGTTCAGTTTATTCCCATAACAACCCAAAAGTGTAACTTATTCCTACAGGATTGTTATTGGAATAAACTGAAGAGAATAGTATAGTAAGCAGCCCTGAGCTGTGGAGAAAAGATAGGATATAAAACTTAAAAAATAAGCAACCAAAGCTGCCAACTTCTTGTTTCGACATAAGAATCTTTTTATTTAACCTTTGCAATCTAAAGTACTTTAATGTCCAGATAATCCTTGTTTAACAACCACAATTTTGAATGGCAACTTTGCTAAGCGCTCAGATTGCTAAACAAAAACCGCATAATTGTGATGGGCTTAAAACTTCACTACCCCTTCAGTCGTTAAGCAAAGCATCATCATCATTAAGTGAAACACCACATGACCATGACTTGCAATTTTACTTGTGCCTTTATTCTGTTTATCACAAGCTAGTTGTGAAGCGCAGAAATGGCAATTACTTGACTACAGGGTACTTCTAGGTTCATAAATGCAAAGCTTTTTTTTACATCATTATTATTTTGAACAGTCACTAAATGAGGCAATTGATAAGTGAGAACTATCTGTATGCTTTCTCCACTTTTGAGGTATAGATAAACAAGAGTCTTAATTAATGCCTGTCATCCAATATGAAGAGCTAACTTTAAAAGTATGCATGATTATTTGTTGAGCATATGGCTTCCTTTCTCAATTCAGATTGATAAATTGGAGGTGAAACAGAAATTAAGTTGTATTTTAAATTTTGACACACACATGGCAGCGTATTTACTTCTGAGTTGCTTCAGAGCTTTTTTTACGTATATAGATTCTTCATTAAAGGAGCTGCCCATTAGGCAGCAATGAAAAAAAAAGGCATTTGTTGTAGTTGCTTTCTTTTCTTTCCAGCTCATAAGATATATGATGGAACATACGTATTTCTGGAGTAGTTGCATGCTGAATGAACAATTTAAACTCACTGCAAGCAACATATTCTGCTTCTTTCATTCATTCTATTTTTGTTTCTAGCAGTACCACAGCTGCAAAACTGTAGAAGTAAGACTTTCACAGGTGTTGAGGGAAAATACCCAAAGCTACTCTTCTGTGGTTAGATTCTATCTATCCTGGGTGTCCTGACATAGAATAGAAACTATATGAATAAGTTGCTGTATTTTATATATTTATATGTGTTTTTATTGTCATTTCCTATGTACATATGCTATAAAAATATTTCATTATAAATATTTGTTTAAAAAGTTAAGAAACAAATTTGGAAGATGCCATTCACTTTGACTATCTTAAATCAACCATGTCCTTGGCTTTCTCAATATTAAAAACAGATGTTTGAAGGAAAGGAAAAACGTCTAGAATTGATTTATGAGTTACGCACTACACATGCACTTCAGGAAGATGGACAGTTGTTGAAGAAGGCTGAAAAACAAGTGACTTTAGCCTTACAACGGCAGCGGGATTTGCACGAACATAAGGTTTGGTTATAAATGGAGGAAATTGATTTTATAGTAATTTATTTTTGCAAAATATGTGTAACAGAAGCTAATGATGGTAACTTCCCATCTAGGGAAGAATACGGTATTCAGGGCAGAGTTTTCAACCAATTTCAGTCTTTGGTGTTAATTAGAATAGTTAGAAGGGTGTGGTGAATGTTAGGAAAGTTCATTCCTATGGTACTTTTATAATTTTACGTTCCTGGGAAATCACTTGTTTTGTTCAGTCCAACATCAAAAGTGAAATACTAAAAATTAATAAATATACTAATGTTCTTCTTTAATGTTGTTATGTGAACGAAAGAGCAAGCACCTATGAAATACTTATAAAAACCACAACTAAAACTGAACTAAAAGATTAAAATATAAAAAAAATCAACCTAATGCAGTGGTGGCAAACCTATGGCACATGTGCCAGAGGCAGCACTCGGAGGCCTCTCTGTGGGCACGCGCGCTATGCCCCGGAGATGGCAACCATACCTCTTCAACCAGCCGCCCACTAACTCGCCAAGGTGCCATGTGGCCGGATGCATCCCAGAACGGCTGGTTTCCCTCCCCCGTCCCATTCCTCTTGGCCTCTCCTTTTCCTGGGCACGAACCACTGCATTGCCTCCTCAGCTGTCGGCCATCTGTCCAGCTCAGAGGCGGTTTCTCTGAACTTCTGGTGGCGAGCAGCGGAGCCCGAGTGCGCCAGTCGAGGAGCCAGCAGGCTGTGGCTGCTGACAATGTTGACCCCCATGCGCTCGCTAGCCTCTCTGTGCGGGGGCCGATGGTATCAGGCAGCAGCCGCTCCGGCCACTACCTCGCCCTGCGACAATGGCACCCCAGCCCTGCCTTGCCTCACCCGCAGGACGAGTCTCCTGCCCACTGCCCCACCTGCCAGAGACCCCCTGGATCTCCCCCAATTCTGCCTGGCCCCCACAGGCATCCCTCCCCATGAGCAACATCGAGGTGATCACGCCCACCTTCGCCACACCCAGCCAGTGGGCCATACCCACCTGGCACCCAATGAAAAATAAGTGGGTTTTGGGTTGCAGTTTGGGCACTCGGTCTCTAAAAGGTTCGCCATCACTGACCTAATGTTTAAACATATCAGAATGAGTCTCCAATTATTTTTCTTTGTAGTTGGGTAAATAATGGTTGCTGACAACTCATTAGAGAACATAGAGCATTACTATCAAATTCGCTATGTTGTACCAGTATCTACTTTTTCTGAGGAAAACTTTGGAAGCCAATTCTTATATATGAAAGTATGTAAAGACTTGTATTGTTCAGGAAAGCCTGGTTATTTTCATAATATCAGAAATAATATAATTTTAGTCCCCCCTCAGGGTTTGATTCTGGTGTTAGATTCTAGGCTTAGACATCAATCAATCTCATTAAAGATGATGTTGATGGAGTTATGACTAACAATTTAGTATAATGCAGAGGTTGTTTTAAACATTAGCTCTGAAAGGCAGATAAAATTGTTGAAATGATAAACAAATTAAATAAAAAAAGGAATGAAATATTTCCGTACTCCCTTAGATGTCTCTCATGGAAAAGCATTTGGCTCGTGTAGAAGGAAGAGTCCTTGCAAATATGTTGGATTTCCTCTCTAAAGAACTGACTCGACTACAGGATGAGCGGAGAATCCATGCTTTTGCTATGCTAGCAGAAAGGCAGCGCCGAATCCGGGAAGCAGAGGAAAGTGGACGTCGACAGGTAGAGGAGAGACGCAGACGTGAAGAGGATGAGATCTTTAGACAGGCAAGTGTGGGAAAAACTATTAAATAAGCTCAAGGAGGTTTAAGCTAGGTCATGGCACAATTGTATTTGTTCAGATTACCTCACAATATGTCTTAAACCTGTGTCCAATATGTGCATAGGTAATACTTCTTTGAAGGAAATCAAACTGCTGAAAGTGGATATAGCTTACAACTGTAGTAGTATTGTATTATCATTTTCATCTCACATCATCCAGTTTTCCACTAAGTGCTTCTTTAGCCTCCTCGTTGGAGGATTAAATTTGTATCATGCTCTGCATTTAATCACAATAGTGCTTGGGTAATTCAGAGAAGCTGATTAAAGTACAATTACTCATTTACAAATGAACAATAGGAAACATTACACCAGTAAGATCAATAAGGAGGACTTACTTCATTTAGAGACATAGGAGTTGTCAATGGGTTAGTGTGGAATGGAGGCCATCTGGGAAGACCTCTTGGCTAGGCTGGGAAGGCAAAAAATATCCCCAAAGTGGTAATCTTTGAACATAACTCAAGGCAGAATTTACTATCCCACATTGAACATGTTGGAGATGCAATAGTGTTGTACATTTTAAACAACTTTGCAAACTAGGTCTAGAAGCATTCATTAAAAGAGTATTGAAAGGAACAGGAGTCTGATCTGGTAAATTATATTATCCAAGCATAAAGTAAGCATTCACTTACTTTATAAAAAGTAAGTGAATGAAGCAGGATAATTCCAAAGAAAAAGAATAGTGAAAAATGAGCCAAATAATAAATTATTCCCAAGATAAATATGCTTATACCAGTGGGGAAAAATATTTTGATTTGGGTTTTTTTTTCAGGTTATTAAAGTACACCAAAAAACAGTTGATTCTTATCTAGAAGATGTTATCTTGAACAGCATGGAGAGTACAGCTGAAGAACAATCTAGGGAAGAGATTCAAAGAATGGCTGTAGAAATCAACAATATTGCTTATGAAATGGAAACACGGTATGGGCTCCTGAAGAAATAGCAGCATTCATAAAGTGAACATAACAAAAGTGGTTATGGTACTATAAAGACTGATCTCCTTCTGGCCTGTTGTTGTTAATTGCGAAGTCGTGTCCGACCCATCGCGACCCCATGGACAATGTTCCTCCAGGTCTTCCTGTCCTCTACCATCTTCTGGAGTCCATTTAAGTTCACACCTACTGCTTCAGTGACTCCATCCAGCCATCTCATTCTCTGTCGTCCCCTTCTTCTATTGCCCTCAATCTTTCCCAGCATTAGGCCCTTCTCCAGTGAGTCCTTCCTTCTCATTAGGTGGCCAAAGTATTTGAGTTTCAACTTCAGGATCTGGCCTTCTAAAGAGCAGTCGGGGTTGATCTCTTCTAGGACTGACCGGTTTGAACGCCTTGCAGTCCAAGGGACTCGCAGGAGTCTTCTCCAGCACCATAGTTCAAAGGCCTCAATTCTTTGGCGCTCAGCCTTTCTTATGGTCCAACTTTCACAGCCATACATTGCAACTGGGAAAACCATGGCCTGGACTATACGCACTTTTGTTGGCAGGGTGATGTCTCTGCTTTTTAGTATGCTGTCTAGATTTGCCATAGCTTTCCTCCCCAGGAGCAAGCGTCTTTTAATTTCTTGGCTGCAGTCCCCATCTGAGGTGATCTTGGAGCCCAGAAAAATAAAATCTGTCACTACCTCCATTTCTTCCCCATCTATTTGCCAGGAATTGAGAGGGCCGGATGCCATGATTTTGGTTTTCTTAATGTTGAGTTTCAAGCCAACTTTTGCACTCTCCTTCTTTACCCGCATCAAGAGGCTCTTTAGTTCCTCTTCACTTTCTGCCATTAGAGTGGTATCATCTGCATATCTTAGGTTGTTGATATTTCTCCCGGCAATCTTAATTCCAACTTTTGATTCATCTAGCCCTGCCTTTCTCATGATGTGCTCTGCATATAAGTTAAATAGGCAGGGCGACAGTATACAGCCTTGCCGGACTCCTTTTCCAATTTTGAACCAATCAGTGGTTCCGTGTCCGGTTCTCACTGTTGCTTCTTGACCCGCATATAGGTTTCTCAAGAGACAAATGAGATGGTCTGGTACTCCCATCTCTTTAAGAACTTGCCACAATTTGTTGTGATCCACACAATCAAAGGCTTTTGCATAGTCAATGAAGCAGAAGTAGATGTTTTTCTGGAACTCCCTAGCTTTCTCCATGATCCAGCGTATGTTGGCAATTTGATCTCTAGTTCCTCTGCCTCTTCGAAATCCTGCCTGTACTTCTGGTAGTTCTCGATCCACATACTGCTGGAGTCTAGCTTGTAGGATTTTAAGCATAACTTTACTAGCATGTGAAATGAGTGCAATGGTGCGATAGTTTGAACATTCTTTGGCATTGCCTTTCTTTGGAATTGGAATGTAAACTGACCTTTTCCAATCCTGTGGCCACTGTTGAGTTTTCCAAATTTGCTGGCAAATTGAGTGTAGCACTTTTACTGCATCGTCTTTTAAGATTTTGAATAGCTCAGCTGGAATACTGTCACCTCCACTAGCTTTGTTGTTGCTCAGATTTTCTAAGGCCCATTTCACTTCACATTCTAGGATGTCTGGTTCGAGGTCAGTGACCATCTCATTGTGGTTATCTGGGACGTTAAGCTCATTCTTGTATAGTTCTTCTGTGTAGTTTTGCCATCTCTTCTTAATCTCTTCTGCCTCTGTTAGGTCCCTGCCATTTTGGTCCTTTATCATGCCCATCTTTGCATGAAACGTTCCCTTCATATCTCCAATTTTCTTGAAGAGATCTCTGGTCCTCCCTATTCTGTTGTTTTCTTCTATTTCTTTGCACTGTTCATTTAAGAAGGCATTCTTATCTCTTCTAGCTACTCTCTGGAATTCTGCATTCAATTGGGTGTATCTTTCTCTTTCTCCTTTGCCTTTCGCTTCCCTTCTTTCCTCAGCTATTTGCAAAGCTTCCTCAGACAGCCATTTTGCTTTCTTGCATTTCTTTTTCTTTGGGATGGTTTTAGTTGCTACCTCTTGTACAATGTTGCGAACTTCCATCCATAGTTCTTCAGGCACTCTGTCTATCAGATCTAATTCCTTAAATCTATTTGTCACCTCTACTGTATATTCATCAGGAATATGATTTAGTTCATACCTGAGTGGCCTAGTGCTTTTCCCTACTTTTTTCAATTTAAGCCTAAATTTTGCAACGAGAAGCTCATGATCTGAGCCACAGTCAGCTCCTGGTCTTGTTTTTACTGACTGTATAGAGCTTCTCCATCTTTGGCTGCAGAGCACATAGTCAATCTGATTTCTATGTTGACCGTCTGGTGATGTCCATGTGTAGAGCCGTCTCTTGGGTTGTTGGAAAAGAGTGTTTGTTATGACCATCGTATTCTCTTGACAAAATTCTATCAGCCTGTGCCCTGCTTCATTTTGTACTCCAAGGCCAAACTTGCCTGTTATTCCGGTTATCTTTTGGCTTCCTACCTTAGCATTCCAATCCCCCATGATGATAAGGACATCATTTTTTGGTGTTAATTCTATAAGGTGCTGTAGGGTTTCATAGAACCAGTCAATTTCATCCTCTTCAGCACCAGTGGTTGGGGCATAGATTTGGATTATTGTGATATTGAATGGTTTGCCTTAGATTCGAATTAAGATCATTCTGTCATTTTGGGGATTGTATCCCAGTATTGCTTTTCCTATTCTTTTATTGACTATGAAGGCTACTCCATTTCTTCTGAGGGATTCTTGCCCACAGTAGTATATCTGATGGTCATCTGAGTTAAATTCACCCATTCCTGTCCATTTTAGTTCACTGATTCCTAAGATGTCGATGTTCAGTCTTGTCATCTCTTTTTTGACTACGTCTAGCTTGCCTTGATTCATGGATCTTACATTCCAGGTTCCTATGGAGAAAAAATCTTTACAGCATCGGACTTTCCTTTCACCACCAGATATATCCACAGCTGAGCGTCCTTTCGGCTTTGGGCCAGTCGCTTCATTCTTTCTGGCGCTACTAGTACTAGCCCTCTGCTCTTCCCCAGTAGCATATTGGACACCTTCCGACCCGAGGGGCTCATTTTCCAGCGTCATATCTTTTTGCCTTTTAGTACTGTCCATGGGGTTTTCATGGCAAAGTTACTGGAGTGGTTTGCCATTTCCTTCTCCAGTGGATCACATTTTGTCAGAAGTCTCTGCTATGACCTGTCCGTCTTGGGTGGCCCTGCACGGCATAGCTTATAGCTTCATTGAGTTACGCAAACCCCTTCGCCACGACAAGGCAGTAATCCATAAAGGGGCCTAGAGCCCACTAATTGCATATAATAAGATAGTTTTTATATTCCAAACAAAATTCCTCTGGATTTCAGACTCCTTGGGGAGTCTCTCTTTTCTGAACTTTCAAATAGTCTGTTCTATTAACTCATGATTTGTGATTTGAAGTTAAGAGGATATCACATATACATTTTTAAAGTGATCTTCCCTCTCTTTTCATGAAAAAAATAATGCAATTCAGTTTTTTCCATTTTCCTGCAGCAATATTTTTTTCTTATCATTTTTTATAATTGTGCATGGAGATGAGATGTCACTGATCCTGAATTAGGATTGAAATAAATGCGGACCAAAGAACATTTCTTTTTTTTTACCTGCATTATTTAAACAGATGGTGAGGTTGTCTCATTGATTGGTACATGAATAACTAATGCTCTTGGTATGAAAGAGAAAAGAACAAAATGCCAAAAATGTAACCATTTTCATTTATCTGATTTCCCCCCCCCCTATAGTCAGAGTAATCTACAGTCTGAAGAGATTGTGGCAGAGCTAGTTTATGGCTTCCTGATCCCTGAAGTGAGAAAAATGACCATTAAGGAAAAAGGTGAGAAAAAGAGCGCCATGTTTACCTCTTGTGTTAATTTTTATTCTGGCTGCTTTGTTCTAGTATCCAGCTATGCAATGCTTTATCTATTGAACAATTCATTCAAATACATCATCAGTAAACCTGCAGCAAATAATGGGTAACTTGGTATAATATGTTGCCCAAAATAAACTTAGCAAAGACAATAGAGGATTCAGTCTGCCAATAATTGTGTAATGGGATTTATAACTTAACATTGTAGGGTTTTTTTTAATCTCTGCAATTGCACAACCAGGCTCTATGCCAATACAAAGCACAAATCCTTTGGATCATTCTAAAACTGAGTTTTTTCACAGCAGCCTATTGTCACATCCTCCCTGTCAAGTATGGCAGTTAGATTCTCTTCCTGCTCATCATTTCTAAGCAGTCTCATGAAAATTGAATAAACTAATTTTAGAGAATTGCAGAATAAAGCCCAATGTGCACGAGGTTCTGTGTCTTTACATGCAGGATTCCTACCTTCAAGGTTTCAGAGTTTGAATTTTGGATTTCTTCCTCTTCATTTTTCAAGTCACTGGTTCTGTAGCTTCTTGATGCCCAATCTAGAATGTTCTGTAATCTCCCTTATTTATTCTTTTTTTTTTCTGGCACAAGAATCTGATCTTTTCAGCCTTATCAGCTTCAACCCTTATGCTGACTGCACATGAATAAAAATGGTAGTCCCTGCTGTTCCTCTCACATTTTCAAAACTAAAACTTTGAAACAGTAGCCAAGAAACTGATGGTACAAGAAGGCAGATAAGGGCAGATAGGCTACAGTTGAGGAAAAACGCAGGGAATTACTTGAAAAACCACAGTTACAAATAGATAATTTATCCCTTTGAGCTTCACATATGTACATAATTGAGAAAGTAAATTCTGGTTAAAGAAGACAGCAGCATCTATGCAAACTAACACCCTCACGAAGCGAGAAATGAGATTTTCTACTGGTAGTCCAAAAAAGAAAAAGTAAAGATGAACTTCCAAGTACTAGTGTGCAACATATTTCTTGATTGCTTGTTCCTCTACTGTTGATGGTTGATCATAAAAGGCAGACACTTCAATATCTTCATTGGCAATTTTAAGGTTGGTTGTTCTATCTATTGTCATTACTTTGGTCATCTTTATATTTAATTTTAATCCCATTTTTTCACTTTGCTTTTTGACATTTAGTACTAAGGCTTGCATATCCCTTGATTTTAAAACCATGCTCATGTTCTTCCAATTCAGCTTCCAATATACAATGTATTTGCATATAGGTTGAGTAACTACAGTAAGGGCAGAGAATACAGTCTTGCCACTCTCCTTTGCCAACCTGGAGCCAGTCTGTTTCACCATGTTTTGTCTATACTAGTGCTTCCTGACCTACATATAATTTTTCATGAAGATAATGACATATTCTGGGATTCCCAATTTTTTAACAGTTTCCACAGTTTGATGTGATCAACCCAATCAAAGGCTTTTCTGTCATCAATGAAGCACCTACTAACTTCTTTTTGATATTCTTTGACTTTCTCAAATCATTTCCTTTAGTAGGAGAGGCAGAAATGACATCTGACCTAAGCTTGAAGAAATGAACGGCAGTGTATTTTTTCTTCCAGGTAGATATGGTTCCTCCTATTTTACTGTTTGCAACAATAATGATATAATAATGATACCACCCTCTAAGATACACATTTTTAGGGATGGTATGATTCATAGAATCCTGGGGCTGAAAGGGACTTTGGAAGTCTTCCAGTCCAATCCAACCCTCTGTCCAAATCAGAAGTCCTTATTCCATCCCAGACAAATGGTTGTCCAGTCTTTTCTTGAAAAACCTCCTGCAGTGGAGCACCCACAACTTCAGAAGGCAAACTGTTCCATTGGTTAATTGTTCTCACCATCAGAAAATTTCTCCTTACTTTCAGGTTGGATCTCCCTTTGATGAATTTTCACCCATTACTTCTTGTCCTGCCCTCAGGTGCTATGGAGAATGGATTGTCCCCCTTCTTCTTTATGAGAGCCCCATAAGTGTTGGAAGACTGATGTTAGGTCTCAGGCTAAACATGCCTAGTTCCCTTAACCATTCATCATACTATTCAACCTCCAGACCCCTTATCTTTGTTGTTCATCTTTGTACTCTTTCTAATACCTGAGCATCTGTTTTGTATTGTGACCAGAATGCAATATTTCAAATGTGATCTTATTAGTGCAGTACTAATAAGTGCTATTATCATTTCTCATGATCTTGGTGCTGTCCCTCTCTGCTTTTTTGGCAGCTGCAGCACACTGCCGATTCATACTTAAGTGGTGGTCCACTAGGACAGCTAAATCCCTCTCATAGGCACTACTGTTGAGCCAAGTACCACCTATTTTGTATTTGTGCATTTGAGTTTTCCGGCCTAAGTGCTTGGAAAGCATTATGAAGCTAACTTTGATTTTATTTGGTCCTAGTTGCTGACCTCCATCTTAAGGAAATCATTGTAATTCCATGCATTGGCAATTAGCTTTTAGTGATACTTGTTTACTCCATTTTGCATGCTTATCTCACTATTATATTCTATCTTTCAGATGCCTTGGCTTGTGGCTCAATATAGAGAAATAATTTCTACTTTGTTAAGGGCCTGTTGGGACTTGTTTGATGAGAAAGAACTCGGTCTCTTTCCCAGTTATGTCACATCTCTTGTAGTAGGGGAATGACTGGCACACCCTAAAAGTTTGGGTTTGTACACTATTAGAACCAAATATCACATTGAAATAGGTTTAGTTACAGTCCTGTGCTTTGGAAGACTGTTGTCTTCATATGTGTATTTCATTGGAGAGGGCAGGGAAAAAAGGGGGACTGAACGTTCCCAACCCATTGTTGGTCTCTCTTTCTCTTTTTTCATTCTTTTTCTCAAAACAGTGAGGCAGGCTCAGAGAAAGCATATTCACGCTGCTCATCAGATTATCCATGGAAACACAGAGACAGCAGTAGAACAGCTCTTTTCCCCAGGGTTTCAACAAGCATCCAGTGTAGGTGTTCCTCAGATTGGATTGCTTTCTGTTACACCTACTGGTCAAGATGTTGCTGAGCCACCAGACAGTCAAATCCAGCAAGATAAAATGCACGAAGATAGCCCTTGCACTGAATCTGCCAAGCCTCCTGAACAATGAAGCAAAAATATGGTACATTTCTTGCATCGCCTCCTCAAGGATACTAAAGTGTGTCTATCTAGCACAGTGTTTCTCAACCTTGACAATTTTAAGGCATGTGGACTTCAACTCCCAGAATTCCACATGCCTTAAAATTGTCAAGGTTGAGAAACACTGATCTAGCAAGTGAATACCTGTTAGTCAGCAACACTGTCAATAAACTATTGCTGCTTTAACTCTGAAATAGATGCAGTTTGATTCTATGTGTGTAATTCTACAAGAAAATGCTTTGGGAAGAAGTAAATCTGGCTCCCACACTTGAGGCACAGAGATGGGGAAAGCTTTGTGCTGATAGAGGTGGCTTGAATCATCTTCTCATGGGTTGAAAGAACCTGAGCAGTTCTTCAGTGATGACTCTATGCTCCAACCACTAGGATCTTGGAAATCAACCTATGTGCCATTCCCCTTGGGCAGACAACTCTATTTGTAAAATAAATAGGCTAACATAAATATTCTCAAGAAGGCAAAACCTATATGATGTTTAACTCAACTCACATATTCTTTTATCTTAAAATTTCAACAAGTATGAGGATTCTGCCACTTTTTTTTTATTATTATTGAAAATTTATAAGATTTTACAATACAAAAACAAAACAATTTTCCCCGTCCCTCCCCAACCCTCCCCTTCCCTCCCCCGACTATCCCAGAGCTGGATATAGGCTTAATTAGAATTTCTTCAAAAAATCTTAAGAAAAGTATAAAATATTAATAAATCTAAATACATTACTTAAACAAATTACTAAATAATTAACAACAATATATATATATATAAAAAAGAAAAACATAAATACCCAAAAAAAATACATAAAAAATATGAAAAGAAAATTAACTTTTCAATATAAGTTATAAAACTATAAACAAATCTAAATACATTACTTAAACAAATTATAAAATAATTAAAGGTAATATATATATAAAAAAAGAGAAATAGAAAAGAAGAAAGAAGAAAATAATAATAATAAAAAAAAGGGAAAAAAAGTTTGGCTTTTCAAGAAAATTGGCTTTTCAATATAGATTATTAAAAAGCTAAATAATATTTTTTAATATCCATCTTGTGTTGTATAAAATCTATCCATTTCCTCCATACCACAACATACTTCTCTTGAGATTGATCCTTCAGGAAAGCCGAAATCTTTGCCATTTCTGCCAGGTAAGAAACTTTAAAAAGCCATTCTTGCAAGGTAGGCAGAGATTCCTTCTTCCAACATTGTGCTACTAACAACCTTGCAGCTGTGATTAAATTTAACATCAATGTGATATCTTTAGTATCACAATCTGTAACAATACCTAATAAAAACAATTGTGGGGTAAATTTTACCCTCCTTCTAAAGATTCTTTGAATATTCCACCATATCGTAATCCAAAAAGCTTTTATATTTTTACACGTCCACCAAATATGATAGTATGTAGCATCCAAACTTCCACATCTCCAACATTTAGGCTGTAGATCAGGATACATACGAGACATTTTTTGTGGATCAAGATGCCATCTATAAAACATTTTATAAAAGTTCTCCCTTAAATTTTGGGCTTGCGTAAATGTAACGTTCCTCACCCAAATAATTTCCCAGGTATCTAATAGTACCGGTTCACCAAAGTTTTGTGCCCATTTAATCATACATTCTTTGACTAACTCTGTTTCTGAGTTCAATTCTACTAAGACCCCATAAATTCTCTTAATGTGAGTTCGCCTTTGATCTTTTATTTGTTTAAACAGATTCTCATCTTCTCTAAGCAAACCCACATTCTGATCTATCTTCCACCTATCCATTATTTGTCTATAGTGAAACCATGAATATATAATATTTTCCTGTGCTAAATCTTCCATAGATTTTAACTGCCAATTTTTACCATCCCACCTGAGTAATTGTGCATAAGAAACGCTATCCATCCTGACCCCTCTTCTTATCCCTTCTATCGCATGCCATGGAATAGCCCATAGTGGGATTTTAAAATCATTTCTATAATATTTCCTCCAAACCTGAAGTAAGGAGGTCCTCATAATATGAGATTTGAAAGCCCTATCAACCTTTTTATTAAAAATTAGATAGGCATGCCATCCAAAAATTAAATCCCAACCCTCCAAGAGGAGTATTTCCACATTTGTTAAATTAACCCAATCACTTATTAATGTTAAAACCACTGCATCATAATACAACTTCAAATTCGGTACCTTGAGTCCACCTCTCTCACGAATATCTTGCATAATTTTAAGTTTTACTCTAGATTTTCTCCCTGCCCAGATAAATTTATTAATACCTTTCTGCCATTCATCTAAATTAACCTCATTCTTTAAAATGGGTATCATTTGAAATAAAAAAAGAAACTTTGGCAACACATTCATTTTAATCGCCGCAATTCTTCCCAAAAGAGATAATTGCAGCTTTTCCCAATTTGTCATATCTCTTTGTATATTGACCCACAGCCTTTCATAATTATTTTTGTACAGTTTTGCATTGGAAACAGATAAAGTAACCCCCAAGTATTTTACCTTATTAACAACCTCAAAATCTGTCAGATTAACCAACACCTGCTTATCCAAATTAGTCATATTTTTAGGCAATATTTTAGTCTTATTATTATTAATTTTAAAACCCGAAACTCGTCCATATTGATATATCAGTTTTAATAACTCTATTACAGAATGAGTAGGTTGAGATAAGGTAACCACCAGATCGTCTGCAAAAGCTCTTAGTTTATATTCTTTCTTATTAACTTCTATTCCTTTTATCTGCTGTGAATCTCGGATTTTAATCAACAATATTTCCAAAGTTAAAACAAACAGCAACGGTGACAATGGGCAACCCTGTCTAGTCCCCTTCTCTATTGTAAACACCTCTGACAAACCCCCATTAACTATAAGTTGTGCCGTTTGTTTTTGATAAATAACACCAAGAGCTTGTAAAATTTTTTCTCCAAAATTCATTTTATCAACTAATCTTAACATAAATTGCCAATTCAATTGATCAAAGGCTTTTTCAGCATCTAAAAATATCAATCCTGCAGGAATTTGATTATTTTTGTCTAAATATTCTAATAAATTAATAATTTGCCTAACATTATTCTTCATATACCTTCCAGTTATAAAACCTGTTTGATCTGTATGTATAACATGATGCAAAACCCTCATAAGCCTATTAGCTAAAATTTTTGCAAAAATCTTGTAATCTACATTTAAAAGAGATATAGGTCTATAATTCTTTGGTAAGGTAAGATCTTGATCTTCTTTTGGAATTAGAGATATAAATGCTCTACCCCATGACGGGGGAATCTGAGAACCCTGTAATATATTATTAAAAAGCTCAGTTAAAGGTTGGATCATTTCTTGTACCAGAGTTTTATAAAAAGCAGATGTCAAACCATCCGTACCCGGTGCTTTACCTAATTTTAATTCTTTAATCACCTTCTCAATTTCCGCACTGGTAATCAAACCATTAATTTCTTGTTTTTGAAATTCTGTTAATTTAGGGAAGTTGGCTCCATTTAAGTAATTATCTATATCTAAAATCTGCACTTTAGTACTCTTGTATAATTTTTGGTAATATTCTAAAAAAGATTTCTTAATCAAATCCTTCTGGTAAACCAATTTACCATTATAGTTTATTTTATCTATAGTTCTCTGTCTCCGTTTCTTTCTCAGTTGATAAGCCAGCCATCTCCCTGGTTTATTAGCATTACAAAATGTATTTTGTTTCATATATAATAAATTAGTTGCAGTTTGATCAGCCATCAACATATTAAATTGTGATTTAAGCAATTTTATAGATTCTTTAACCTTCTCATCTATGGGATTTGAAATCAAAATTTTTTCTTTTAATTTAATCTCATCTTCCAGTTCATTACGTTTCTGAGTCTGCTTCTGTCTATAAATATTATTCATTTGTATCAAAATCCCTCGCATGAAAGCTTTACCTGCATCCCATACCATTGACATTGAAGTTTCCTTATGCATATTTAAAACAAAATAATCCTTTAAGTGCTCTTTTAACTTTGAACATTCTTTTCTTGTCTAAATAAATTTTCATTCATCCTCCACGATCTCCTCTCCTCTTTTTCATCGACCAGTTCCATCCAAACTGGACTATGATCCGTCAATGTCCTAGGAAAGATCTTAACATTCTTTACCCTGAAGTATAAATCAGTTGTAATAAAAAAAAAATCAATTCTTGAAAAAGATTTGTGTCTATCTGAAAAAAAGGTAAAGTCTCTCTCCTTCTGATTATGTTCACGCCAATAATCTCGTAGCTCCCAGTCTTCCTTCAAATCAAAAAAGGCTTTAGGTAGTTTAGCCTATTTAAAGGAAATAGAAGATCCTTTTTTGTCCCTTTGTGTATCTAAAACACCATTCCAGTCTCCCATTAAAATAACGGATTTATAATCCAACAAAGTCAATTTTTGATGTAACAATCTATAAAATTGTCCCTGTTGTTGGTTTGGTGCATAAAGTCCCACTATAAGTACTTTCTTTCCATACAAACCAACTTCAATCATAACGAATCTCCCTTGGGAATCAGCTTCCACCAAACTGGCTACTAAATTTTGCTTAACATAAATAACTACTCCCCCTTTTTTCCCAGGAGCTGAAGATACAAAATGAGATCCCAAACGAGGATTAACTAAAAAATTTTGATCTTTGGATATAATGTGTGTTTCCTGCAAACAAATAATATCATTATTATGTTGCTTTAAATAATGGAAAATTTTCTTTCTTTTCTTTCTTTGGGGGAGAATTGAGACCATTAGCATTCCATGTCAGGAGCTTTACCATCTCCCTTGACCAAAAGCCTGGAGAAGACTGCTTGAAGGTTTGCCATTGAAGAATGTACTGCAGAACTCTTAGGTCTTGCTC